CTATTGCGACGAGGCAACTGCCAGGGTTACCTGGTAAGCCTTGTTGAGGATTCTCAGAGAACGCAGACACCTCATGATGTTCCTATTGTTCGCGAGTTTGTTGACGTCTTTCCAGACGAGCTTCCAGGAGGATCGCCCAATCGTCAGGTGGAGTTTTCCATTGATCTTATTCCAGGGGCAGGTCCAGTATCTAAAGCCCCATATCGCATGGCGCCTAAAGAGTTACAGGAGCTTAAGACTCAGATCCAGGAGCTATTACGACTCAGTTTCATCCGACCGAGTGTGTCACCATGGGGAGCACCCGTTCTTTTTGTTAAGAAGAAGGACGGATCTATGCGAATGTGTATCGACTACCGGGATCTTAACCGGTTGACGATTAAGAATAAGTACCCGCTTCCCAGGATCGACGACTTATTCGACCAGTTGAGGGGAGCCTGTGTATTTTCGAAGATCGATTTACGGTCAGGCTACCACCAGCTGAAGATTAAGGAGTCAGACATCGCTAAGACCGCTTTCAGGACTCGTTACGGCCATTACGAGTTTGTAGTCATGCCTTTCGGTCTCAGCAATGCGCCAGCAGTGTTCATGGATCTCATGAACCGGATCTTTCATCAATACCTCGATCAGTTCGTCATTGTCTTTATTGACGATATCCTTATCTACTTGAAGAGTCAGAAGGAGCATGAGGAGCATCTGAGGATGGTTCTCGAAACCCTCAGACGAGAGAAGTTGTACGCCAAATTCTCCAAATGCGAGTTCTGGCTTCAGCGAGTATCTTTTCTGGGTCATGTTATTACCCAGGCAGGCATCGAGGTGGACCCATCTAAAGTTTCAGCCGTGCAGGACTGGTCGACACCGAGGAATCCGTCCGAGGTTCGCAGTTTTCTCGGATTAGCTGGTTACTATTGCAGGTTTATCGAGGGCTTCTCTAAGATTGCACTCCCACTTTCCCAGCTGACGAGGAAGACTGTGAAGTTCGAATGGACTGACAGATGTGAGGCGAGTTTTCAGGAGCTCAAGAGGAGATTGACGACAGCACCGGTTTTGACTATCCCAGATCCTTCTCAGAGTTTCACCATCTACAGTGATGCTTCGAGGCAGGGCTTGGGATGCGTCCTCATGCAGGACGGACGGGTCGTTGCGTACGCTTCACGCCAGCTTAAGCCCCATGAGCAGAACTATCCTACGCACGACTTAGAGTTAGCCGCAGTCGTTCACGCCCTGAAGATCTGGCGTCATTATCTTTACGGCGGACGCTGCGAGATATTCACTGACCATAAGAGCCTACAGTACATCTTTACGCAGAAGGAGCTTAATATGAGGCAGCGCCGTTGCCTCGAGTTGGTCAAGGATTATGATTGTTCCATCCAGTACCATCCGGGGAAGGCGAACGTCGTCGCAGATGCCCTAAGCCGAAAGGTGACGGGAGACTTGACGTACGTCATCACGCAGCAGAGTCCCTTGATCCATGAGTTCGCCCGGATGCAGCTTCAGGCGATTGATGCACTCCCCATAGCTGTCTCGGGGAGTACTAGTGCCAATGTCAGTGCTATGCAACTTCAGCCAACACTGAGGGAGAGGATCCGGCGAGAGCAGGCTTCTGATGAGTTTGTGCGTGTCATGGAGGCCAAGGTTCGCTCCGGAGGAGTACAGGACTTTCAGCTAGGCGCCGATGGTGCCTTGGAGTTCAGAGGCA